CGCCCCCGTCCCTCCGCCAGCCAATGGGCGAGCCCCAGCCAGAGCCGGCGATTGGCCGGCCGGGGCACGGCAAGGAAGAAAAAAGTTTGGGCGGGCGAGGCGGGGGAAGAGAGAGACGAGAAAGGGGGACGCTGATTGGACGAAGGGCGCGCGGCCCCGCCCGGCCCCGCCCTCCGGAGGGGGCCGTCGTCCGTTAGGCAGTGAGGCGGCGGGGCGGCTGTGACCGGGGAGGTTCCGGGAAGAGGACGGTGGCTACTTAGGAAGGAAAGGCGCCTTAGGAGTTCTATGGAGTTTTTTCCTGGTACAAGTAGAAGTGCGGTAAGATCAATTACTGTATTGAAGGGAGTGACCTTTTAAAGGGTTAAGACAGAAATTCTGCCAGTGGCTTAAACCTTCAAAAGTGTATTCTTCTGCTTGCGTACCCAGAAACCGTTTGTTATTTTAGGAATTAATCCCTGTCTAATAGTTTTGATCGCTCTTCTTTTTTTTTTTCTTTTTTTAATAACTCCTTCTCCCACAGAGGAATATTGTTACTTCCTACCCCCATGTAAGCCTTATCTTTTAATCCTGTAACATTGTTGTTTGCCATACAAAGTATGGCATGGTTTTATAAAAGTTAACATTTTGGTAAAAAGGTCTTGAGTACCTGCTTTTACTAAAACTTTTTTTCCCCCCACAGTTCTGTTCCTGATGACTGAAAAATACCAAGAGCCTCCCTCCACAGATGGTCAGCAAGCGCTCCAGAACACTCTTGTTACCTCTCATGTTTTTTCACTTAATTAAAGCTAGATTCCTCAAAGATAAATCAAGAAACAAACGTGGTGTATCTGAGCAAAAATACAGCATCTGAGCAACTAGTTTTCAGAACAGAAATAAAACCCAAAGGAACTTGCTTGAAGAATGCAGGTTGCCCTCTCCATTACCTTACACTAATGGTCTGGTCCAGGACATAGCATAAGCACATGATTACACTTTGGGTTTCTGCTGTGCAGAGCCCATCTTTATCCTTCCTCACCCTCTCTCTGCTGAACAAGCTCAGCAATTACCTCCTGCCCAGCAGTGCTACTCCCTAGTGATATCATGGAGTCATTGTCCAGTTTTATCCTCCCACCTGTCTCACAGCAGCCGAAGCCGGCGGCAATGCCAGCACGCTGATCCACAGCAAGGATGTCCCGCTGCTGACACATCAACAAAGGAGGCTGTTAAGTCAGTACTATTACTTCAAAATGTTTTTAAGTGAATTATTCTATCACTGGAAAGGAATTATGAGATAATTTTAAATCCAACAACTCTAGTAGTCTCCGCAGACCTTCAACACACCCTTGAGAAAAGTCAGAGCAGACCCTGTGGTAGAAAAATGTAATATACAACTGCGCATCCAGAATGGCACATGACTTCACAAAAGCAAAGCCATGAGAATAGACACCCAAATCAAATAAGCTCCTTGATGACAAGCCTGGTAAAAAAAAAAAAAAAAAAAAAAAAAAAAAAACACACACCAAAAAAACCCACACACACAATTACAAGAAAAAGCATACTGATACAAACATTTTACAATAAGTTTATTAGTCAACCACAATTATAAAATTTAAATATTTGTACAGCAAGATGGAAAATTTTTAAGTAACCAAACACTCCAAACTTTTGCTGCAGTATACACAGGAATGGTTTTTTCTTCCTTTTACCAGTTGATCCAATATCATCCTTTAGTTACTCAACAACTTCTTGAAGGCATGATTGAGAATGTATTTCACATTTGTCAGTGCAATATACAAAAATTCAAGACCATATTAAACTGATTGGAGGGGAAAAAAAAAAAAAAGAAGAAAAAGAGGACAGGCACATTGAAGTCAGCTACTCCCTAAATAGCTCATGGTTGATACTGTTTGTATATGTTGCCATAGTGCAAAGGGTACAGAATAAAACGTTCCTTTGATACACAAACATAAAAAACATGTTCCAAATGTTGTAGTTTGTTTTGCAAAACATGCATGAAGTTCCCAAATTTTTTTTAAAGTCTTCTGTACAAGAGAAGAAATACAAAGGCAGCCAGAAATGGAAGCATTCACAAACACCAGAATAAGGCCCTTCAGAGTTTATTTAAAGTAACATGTTAAACCCCTTCATTCTCAGGTAATAGATTAAGAGGCCGAGATACACATCGTCTGCGAGGGTGAGGATACTGGAGGTTGGCAGTGTCAGCATCACAAGAGTGCTCTATCAGAGGAGGAGGAGGAAGGAGCTGGGCATGACTGGACCATCTCGATCCAGCCCGTGGGGAATCCAGAGGGGGAAAGAAATACCTGAAACAATTAAGAAAGGAACAAAACACCAAAACAAAAAAACAAATCAAATCAAATCAAAACAAAAAAAAAACACAAACAAAAAAAGAAAAAGAGAAAGGTAGTAAATACAAGGAGAACCAAAGGGGAGAAAAGACATGCTGGAAAAAAAAAAGGCTTTAGTATATCCATGCCAAAACCAATAAAACATAATAGCAGAAATCAAGGCTTGTAATTCAAAACAAGACAAATCTGGAAACTGTTCTTTAAAGGAAAATTAATAGTCTTTTCCACTGAGATTCATAGAAAAGAATACCATAATAATAATCCTAGTATACATTTTTACAAAAGAACAGACTGCTTTGGAAATCAAAAGGCTGTTGTAGTACAGCTATTAACAGGCTTTCATTCTCCCAGAATTCCTGCCTTTTGTTAACAGAGCCTTTAGTAACGCTTCATTTGTTTCACAAAATATACATTAAATATTATCCAAGTACATTTTCTGCATATGCATCTAATTCAGATTAACTCCACAGCACTTCTAGAATAGACGTAAAAACATCATTGTTTTTACAATACTTTAGGTTTCATATTATACATTTACAGAGAATAACTACTTTCAGTGAAATACAGTCTTTGTATGTATTTACATCTTTCTGCAAAATCCTCAGAGTAACTTTTAAGATTCCTGGTGAATACAAGACTCAGAATTATGCCACTTCATGTATTTTTTCTGCTGTTTTTATTAGAACTTACCCGTAATACTTGTGCATTTTAGTATATCAGATACCTACAGAAGTTTTCTGTCTTGTTTACAGTTCTGTGGACTTACATAAAGGAACAGCTATACAACTAATGAAATTATGGGGCAATTCACAACAAGCTGCAATTTGGTTTCAATCTTTGTATGGCTCAAGCGTTTGCGTTTTTTAGGATACTATGCTTAGAGAATTTTAGTTACTTCATGGTATTACCACGGGAATGTACAAGTACGTATCACAAAAAGTACTTCTCTTAGAATGATGAAAGTATGACAGTACTTACAAAACATTGATTTGAAGTTGTACTAAGGTATAAGTAAAGCAATACCAAACTATTAAAAGCTATCGCCTGTACAATTGTCAAAACACAGTTTTCTTATTCCTTTAAAACTAACAGTTTTGTATATTACAAAGCAGTTACAAACTTGTGATGTTTAGGAATCTTAATCAAATGCTGAATGCTATGAAATGCAAAACAAATTAGTTATCAAAACAATTTCAATGAAAGTTATTTTAATAGTCACTTCCCTCCTCCCACCACAATCAAGGACAAAAATTCTCATTTTTCATCATGAACTAGTCTTTTAATTTGACAAGCTTTCAAATAAAATATCTTTTGATGGAAGTTTGGGGGGGTTGGGTTGTTGTTTGTTTGTGGGGTTTTTTTCCAAACAAGAAGCCTCTCCAAGTATTTTTCTATCAGGAGTTCCAACAGTATCAAACTGTCCGGGCTAGTACAAAATAAACATACACAACGTGTTTTAAAAAGGCTTTTTGAATAGCATTTAGTAGTTAGCAGGCTGCTGGTGTCTTGGGAGAGGTCAAACGGCGTTGGGGAGGGGAAAAAGGAGTTCGCTTTCCATTCCTGTGGGCATGCAACAAGCAGCAAAACACCAAAGTTACTCCAGTTAGCTTGGTATCAGCTCTGCTTTCTGTTAAAAAGGACATAATACAAATGGAGAATGGAAATTGTATCATAAATCTAGACACACAATTACATCAACATAACAATATAGCCCTACTGACTTATTTTCCAACAATCTACATCATCTATTCTGACACTATTTTCATTACAAATCCAGTTTGGTGATCATGCTTTAACAAAGTTTTCCAGATCTGCCTATGCTTTAACTCTTTTAAGTGTTTAAATCTATACACTCTGAAATATAACATATACCGTCACAGACAAAATAAATTCTGTGTAGCATACCAATTTAGTCAAATGTCAGTACGTAAATCTTTATTGTCAGTGTTAACACACTAAAACAAAAGCTAGAAAGCTGTGCTTATGCAATTCAAACCAATGTGATTACGAAAGAAAACACATAGTTAAGTGCATCTTTTTTATAGTAAGGCTCAATCGTAGGACAAGACACCATACATTTTGAAATTCCACAGCCACAGACTTAACTCTGTAACAGAATGTCAATTCCAAATCGGAGCCGAGAATAATTTATTAAAAAAACAAAACAAAAAAAAAAAAAAACCACACTTTCAAAATGCAGAGCAATGGAGGGAATCTAACATAATGCTAGAAGTTTCAGTTTCACAAGGGCTTACTACCAACTTCAGGGAGAGGAGAACAACAACCAATGGGGTAGGGCAGGGTAGTCTTGCTGGCAGCAGCACAGTCTTAGATAAGGAGATTGTGAAACCACACTCTATGCTAAAGAGGTATAAAATAGCCTGTATTTACCTATAGGAGCCCCAGCAAATACGGTTACATAGCTTTGGATATCCCATTTCCAAGTCAGGACTGCATTTCAGCATTTTTTTGCTACACTGTAAGTAGCACCTGGAACCAGATAACCAGTATCATCTTGGCCTCCTTTCTTGCTGGAGACTTGGTCCATTACCACCTCTTGCTTTCCCATTTATCTTGTGAGAAAAACATGAAAGCCCTTCTCTGTTCAACACAGCTCAGGAATTTGAAGCCAGAACTGCCGTTCAGGACTGACTGCTGAAAGGGGGGTGAAGGCTACTCTCCAAAAGCAAACTGTCATAGTACTTTACAGATGAGCATTTTAAACTGAAAAAAGCTGTATCAGTAGCTGCACACGTATGGAAATGGAAGCTATTTTGAAAAAAATAAAGGTGGCCACAGAACTTGGAAGCTGCTGCTATGGAATTTGGCCACATCTAGTCCTTACATAGGCCACATTCTGTAAAGCTGACTGTAAACACTCAACCATACAAATGCGGGGCTCAGCGTATTTCTAGATTTCAGTCTGCACAAATTAAAATGTTTTCCAGAAGAGGCAGTTAAATTTACCTATTAAACAGCAATTAATACAGAACAAAAACATAACAGAGAAAGCAAATTAATCTGCTATAAGAATGCCATAGGAGGAAGATTAAAAAAACAAAACTTTTATTCAATTGATGTTACACCTGCAAAAATGCAAGTAAACTAACACTAGTATATGATTCTTGAAACCATACATTATGAAGTATCTTTTCCTCCTTCCTTTCTGCTACATTATCCCAGTGAAAAACAGAATTTGTTGCTGGCATTTTTGCTTCACTTTTAAACATGCATCTACAACAAAAAGGCAGTTACACAGCAGTAGGATGAAGTTTCTCTTTGTTTGAAACTATTTCAGGAAAGTTACTTTTACTAATGTGAAAGGACTAAAAGTGAAAATAGTTGTTTACATTGCTTATTTATACAGAATGATTCAGTACGGCTTAGGGGTTTGTTCATGTTCCTCTTAACACTGGCATAACAGACACCATCACAGAGCAAAACTAGAAGAGCTTGTAGAAGTATTCATGCAATAAATTACATTGTACTTAAGAAAATATTATAAAACAAACATGAAAGCTCAGTGAAATTCAGAGAAGAGACAAATTCAGTCTCTCTACTAATTAACCTACCTGCTGGCAGATGATCCATTTAGTGAATTCTGTAGACTTGTATTGGCTGAACCTAGAGAGGCATTAAAAATTCCCTGCTGAGAACTACCATTCACCGGACTCCCGTTACCTTTGAGTATACCGGTACACTTCCAGTTGTCCATGTAATTAGCTGCAAACATAGATACAATAAAACCTGTTAGTTTCCCTTCTGAAGCTCAGCATTTTATACAACTATGATGTTTCAACTGCTACGCACCTGGTAAGAATTAGAATTGAACTTCAATACCAATATATAAATTCCAAACAGTTGAGGATCTGGCCCTTTATCTCCCTTTATCTGACATTCTCTGCCTATCCACGATTTAAAACTCAGTTTTGTTCAGTAGCAAAAACAAGTTTCCTTTATTAAAATACTGAGGAACAAATGAGAATGGATGAGGAAACTACCACTGGGGGTTTTTTTACTGCTTTTGGAAATTTAAACAGAAAAAAGCCAGTTTGCCTGAACGCTGTGCTTGAATGTCTATTTTCTGGTTTTGACAGCAGGCAAAGATAGTAATGCAGTACATATGTTAATTTTAAAAATGACAACTTTACATAATTCTAGTCTGGTGAAAGAATTTAAGGGTACAGTAACAACTATTCACAGCAGCATAAGTCATGCAAGTATTCCAGCACAGACAGTTATTCCCTTTTTCTGAAATGTAAACAGAAATACAAAAATATAACATTCGCCAATCTAAAATTAACTTTTAATCCAAAACTATTTTTTGAGTAAAGTTTCTTAAGTATATTCAGCACACCTCAATGCTAATGTATTTCAGGTGGGTGACCTTACCCTTCCAGAGCCTAACGCAGCCATCATCACCAGAGGAGGCAAGCACTGTGCCTGTAATATTCCAGCTCACTCGCCACACCTGGGAGTTGTGATTATCAAACTGTGCTACAATATGAATTTCAAATTTGGTTAATCCTCCAGATGAAGTCAATTCTTTCCTGTTTAAGAGAAAAGTGACAGTTATGCACACAACTGTTCACAGGTCTGGGCTCGAACATGACGACAAAAAGGAGTACATTTTTCAAGGAGTTTATGTAACAATTGTTACTAGATTAGGTGTATTAAGAGGTATTCAGGCAAAAGCATAGAATTGCTCACAATCTTGTAATCTTAAAAATCAAGCTGCTAAAAAACAATCCTGCATACATTAAGTTACTACTTTTGCTTTGCAGATACTATTAAAATAAGACTATATAGTGTGTACCACATCATACCAAACTAACTTCCTTTTAAGCTCACCTTAGAGGTTTTAGTGTGAAAATTCGTACATCTTTGGTTGCTACAGCTAATATGTGGAAGGATCTTCCCAGATTTGGAGCAAATGCAATATCATGTACAGGATCTGTGACTGTCATCAGAGCTTCTGCTTTTGCATATTTCCTGTACAACATAAAATATTAACTTTTACTGCCATCAAAATTGCCAGTGGTGCAATTTATATAAATCAGTCATAGTGGAACGCGGGAAAAGGGGTTAGCATACATGACAAGACTTGCAAAACTAAAAATATTTTCATAACATAAATTTAAAGTGATAATTCCAACCTGATTTCTTTAGAAACTGAATACACCACATACAGTAACTAACAACAGTATGCTAAATGATACAACAAAGCAAAGATTCCAGTACAAAGAACATTTTTGTTTACAGTCGGAAGAGGGAAATAAAAACACGCTTCCATTCACAAATCTAAAGGGAATTTATGTCTCAGTAACACACTAAATTTTCTGCGCTTGTAAGCAGACCGCTGTCTGCCTCCTTCACTGCATGATAAACATGTATTCCATTTTCTATTTACCACCAGATAAGTTATGACTTTCCTTTATTGGTAATGGACAGAACATTGTCTGAAGCCTGACATAAATCCAGAAAACACCTTCCCACACCAATCACGCTGCATAAAACATAAGTTCTCTGTCATTGTTTAATTAAAAGTGGTTGTGCACATGCTTCCTGGCCTTTTCTAGTTGCGAATTAACTGTACAAACTGAACTTTTACAGAACGCTAGTAATTCACAGGACTTTCTGTCATTATAAACATGCTTTTAAAAGCATTTTAAGGTCATCTTGAACAAAACAGTGCCTACCGCAACACAGTTCAAATTTCAACTTTACTCTATTAATTCCTTGTGCAAAATAAGCACATAAATTAGTAGAAGCAGAAACAATAATTCTCCCTTTAAAATACTGCTAAGAACACTGGCATTTGTGGACTAAGATAGAACAAAATTATGTCTGTTAACACAGTCACCATTCTGAGGTCTTCCTCTCCTTTCCCATCCAGCGGCTCAGAGACAGAATTAAGGTATTATTATTTACTACTCCACTCTACATCTAATGACAGGAATAAAATAAAAGGCCATATATTACAAACTGCTTTAAGATCCCACAAGTGTTCTAGATTGTCATTTAGCATACCTGGTATTAGGTCTTCCTCTCCTTTCCCATCCAGCGGCTCAGAGACAGAATTAAGGTATTATTATTTACTACTCCACTCTACATCTAATGACAGGAATAAAATAAAAGGCCATATATTACAAACTGCTTTAAGATCCCACAAGTGTTCTAGATTGTCATTTAGCATACCTGGTATTTTCGTTATATTCATAAATTTGAACCTTAGCCAATATATTTGGACTGTTGTCATCACTTCCTACAGCTATCATTGGAGAATGTGCTCGAGAGCTGAAAGGTGAAAATAAACACTGTTACATTTATAAATTATTTCACAGAAAGTACACCAAGCCATTTTTAAATTTCAGACACATTATCTATAAATAAAATAAAACAGTAACAAAAGAAATATCACAAGGGGGAATAGAACCACAAGGAAACATGAGTAAGTTCATTTACAGTTACCTGTACAATCTCCATTCGGTTGTTTGGCAAGGCCACTATACACACCCGCTAAGGTGAAATAAGTAGGGAACACTATTTGGCGATTCAAGGTGATGGTCCCAGAGAATAGGACTGATTTTATATATGCATTTCCAGTCAAGTATTTGCCACATGTTTCATGGCACAGTCCGTGTTCTTTGCAGTACTTTCAATAATTGGTTTAGTCGGATTTCATTCACGTTTTGGAAGACAGATTACCAAAGTTAAATGCAGATGAGTTCTATTTTTTAAATCAACTTTTAACCCCATCCTATGCATTAAAGTGAAAGCCTGTACTCTGAGCCTTCAGCACAGACTGCTACTAATGAATAGGAGAATAACTGGATCAGCAGGACACAGACAACTATGCCTACAGGCAAAGTCATTAAGTGCTTCTGGACAAACAGAATCCAAAGCAGTTCAGCCCTGAATGGTTTTTCCCTTCCTGTTATTGCTGGGGGAGGATGTGAGATGGGAAGCAAAGGAGAACCTCTGCTTGTATGTGTTCTTCTGGCTAGGGACTACCCAACCAAATGTCTCTCTGATTCCTTCCTGTTCAGGCAGGTTTCATTGAGCCCCTGAGGATACAACTAAAAGAACAACTCGGAGGCTTTGTATTCGTGCTAGCAAGGCTCTTGTCGTTCCTAACACTCTGTTACACTGGCAAGGGTGCTTGTCCTTGTTAGGGTGGTAAAAATTATTACCTATTACATCATCTTACTTAAGGAAAGAAGAAAGAGACAGGAATTGTCCCTTTATAAGCACTTTCTCTTGGGAAAATTCAAGTTAAGTTTTATGGGAAAAATAAAGAGTACTCTGTAGCTCTTTAGCTCATACTTGTTAGAAATAGTTAAGCTGGGAATATTTCCTCACAGAGCACATGAGGACTTTTTGTAACACTTCTCTGACTCTGCCAAACTTGCTATATTAGAAGAAATGTTAGCAGCTTTCTTTCAGATCTAAGTAATGTACATTCAGTCTTCTCCATGCATGTTTTAGGATTTATTCTACAAAATTTCAGAACTAACTTTTTGGTTCTTCTGCTTAAACAGTCATAAAACAAAACATACAGTTTTAGTAACATACCTTGAAGGATTCCACGAAATACAACTGCAGCTTAGCTTACATGAGATTTCATGCTGCAGTGACCACTGACTGAGATTCATCACATCTGGAGCTTCATAAATCCTTACAACTCCATCTGCTGAACAGGTTGCTAACATAAGACCCATATGCTTGGGTGCAAACTTCACATCTGTAACAGATGTCCTACTGTCTACCAGAGTGGTCCTCTTTACCTGCAAAGGCAGAAATTCTTGAAAAAAATGCAAGAAATTTCCATCAAAAATTTATTCCCTAAAGACTGCTAATGAAATTTTGACAATACCATTTCATCGGATCACTGACCTCTTCCACCAAAAACTAAACAAAAAAATAATCTTTATACACCAATGAATTGGAGAAATGACAAATCATTGCACTGATGCAATTTCAAGCATCAAGAGATATACTCACAGGGGTATCAAAGTTCTGATACCAAAAAGAGTTGTTAAGATTATGCTCTTCAGAAAAAAAAAAAACAAACAACACGTAACATAAGTATTAAATACAAGAATAATGACCACAGGCAGTTTGAAACCATTCATACTGGTGACAATATTAACTGTGATACCTAGCAACAGCGCTTTCTAATTTCAGTGCTGCTGAAGTTTACCACAAAGCATTTTATAACAGAAGCATCAAAACAAGTATTTCTGATAAGGGAATAGGTGACTACAGCAGCCATTTGACAGGAAGATTAGTTAGGTTGAAAGAGGAAAAAACTGTAAACTTTTCTTTTTCAAATTGTCTCCTCTCCTGCCAAGATAGTATGAGTTCGCGCTGAAAACTATGCATCAAAACTGCCTCCTGCACATGGAAGTCAGCTTTCGTACCCCACCGAAGGTCCTGACAACCCAACTTTTCACTAGTACATATTTTAATGTTAGAAAACTTTAGTAGAAAGTAGAAAACTGCAGATATTTTAGCAAACTAACACAAAATAAAACATTAGAGGCAGGTATCCCGAGTTATAGAAGATTACACATGAAGAATAACTGCAAAATAATCTGTTTAGATCTAAAATTCCCTTGATGAAGTGCTACCCAGAAAATCCACTTCTGAGGAAACTATTTCCCCCCAAAACCTGACCTGTTGCTTGAAAGATGAAAAAGAACAGCATGACACAGTTTCAAATGAGCTTTTTTCACGGAATAAAAACCCCACAAATTTAATTCTACTGTAGATGGGTATTCATGTCTGCAAGTTGTTCGCCACAGAACATCCTATTACAATACACCAATAGTAGTGGCCTGAATTAATTGTAATTGAATTAATACCAATTGGCCTGAATTATGCCATTTAGCTGTCTTCCCCAAATGCTTTAAAAATACTTACTCTATGTTGGAGTACTGCCACAAATTAACAAAAAATAGGCAAAATCAGGAACACATTACATTAACAGCAGAGAACAGGGTGCTTTCTCTGTTTCAGGAATAGAAGGTATGTTGCAAAACCAGAAATGTCCAGTAACTTGGTATTTAGAACAATTTTCATGTTCAGTCTTCTGTTTAATTCTGGAACTTAAACAGTTTAAAGCTTCAGCCCATTATGATAAGCAAACAAATCAATGATGCACAGTAAATCTCTTTATTTGAGAACATGTAGAAACTGTAATTAATATGCTGAAATCTCACCCAGTGACTCTGGCCTCGGAGTTTATCATTTGACTCTCCCACTATTTCTTCCCATACAGCTGCTGTTCTATCAAAAGAGCAGGAGGCCAGGACCTGTCCAAATTCAGGATGGGCCCAAGTCACACGCCACACAGATCCACTATGTGTCTGCAAGATAACAGCACAAACACTATAAAGAAACATACTGATAGTATTAGTCCAAGCTTTCTGTAGAAGCAGAAGTAAATCCTAGGAAGCAGTAAGACCATTCCTTTGAAAACTATGTTCTTTTCTAAAGCTCAAAGTTACACAACAGCTGTTGCATTTGTAAGCACTGCAAAGTTTTGTTGCTATTCGTTAATGGATAAAAAGTAATTATTACAAGTGTATTTCAAGGCATTATTTATTACTCCTTTAAACCGTAAGTTCCAAGCTAAGATTCTGCCTTGACACAAAAAGTACGGCTTTTTTTTCAATTTTCAGCCATTACCATGCTCACTTCTAGCTTGCCTGTACCCTTCCAAAGTATACGCAGAGCATTACTTATCCTCTCCTTTTTTACATTAAACTCCTCTTTCATACCTAGTCAACCTAATACCTCTTTTTTCAGGAAAAGGGAATTCAAAAGCTTCACTTGCATTTCCATTTACAGGGATTATTGTTCTGTGGTCCTATTAAATACAAGTTTAAGGACAATTCAGAAGCTGAATGCACTAAATATTCTGATGAAAAAGAGTATCTGTATGACACAGTTCTCAAATGTTTTGAGGAAAAAAAGAGGTCAGATATTGTAACACTTAATAGACAGACCTCTTCCTTTTTCTTTTATTCTCCGTTCTCTCCACCAAGTCTTACAATATGCAAAAAGAAAATATTAATTAAAAATTAAGGTAGTTTTCCAACTGCCTAAACACCAGTTATTGCTATGTTTACTGATAACAAAGTCTGCCAACATAACTAAGTACTAATAGTGTAAGACTGCATGCTAGCCTCTGCTTTAAGTGAGAGGCATTAGAGGTGTTTTATAAAAGCAGAGAAAAAGTATTTTACCAAAAGAAATACAGGATCTACAACAAACCAAAAGTATTTCTACTCTACAAATCAGCAAAAACTAAGCACGTTTCTTCAGAAACAAACTAGAAATTATTATAACTTGTTAATTTTTATAAATACAAACCTTCCAGCTGGCAGTGCAATGCCAATCTCCATTTTCACTTTTGTCCCAGACCTATTGAGAAATCAAAATACAAACATACAATTTGTATATAAAGCTTACTAAGTAATACTGTAAAACACAGCCATTAATATATATATACACACTGCCCACTAAACATTTTCATCTGGAAATTGCTACCTGGCTCAATACACAACTGCACTTCACTCGACCTTGAAAATATCCCTACTACAAGTAGCGAGAAGATGCTTACACCTGCAAAATGCACTATGGTATGAAGTATATCATTTATAAACAGTAAGTTATTCACAGAAGACAAATTATTAAAATTTTCCAACACTTAATTCACTCTGTTCCATAAGTACACTACTCGGTTTCACTCTAGAGCCCCCATGATCCTCACCACGGCACGTGCTCAGATCCAGTGGCAAAACCCTGATACAGCTCCTAGCAATCATCCCAAACACAGAACAGGGAAGCAAAAAGAAAATCAAGCTAGTGGGGGAAAAGTTCTTCTTTCTGTTTCTAATATTCCTGCCTTGTTTCATAACCACACACAAGTCACTTAACCTTCCTTCCTCTTGATTTCCCATACATCCTGATCATCTTCGTGATTTTGTTTTTCCGAAAAATTGTGGAGGAATTCATGAAGGTAACCAGATGAAAAACGTGTAGAAGCCTGGCATCCATTCCTGTTGGTTACTCATTCACTATGTAACTTTACTGAAAGTCACCTCACTTTTGCCATTCTGGATATCTAATACAACCTTGCTTGTTACCATCACAGTCCAACTTCGTAACCTCCCCAACTGCTAGTCTGCGCCTCGTGAGAATGGGCCAGATATACACCACTGCTATTCTACAAGTGCTGTAAAATTCTGGTTAGAGTACAACTTCTTAAGAGAGTCTCATAAAGGATACTGTTATGATTGGAAAGTAACATTACACTGCTAAAGAACACAGTTTTTGAGTTCTGCCTACCTCTTGGCATCTTTAAGAATGTTCTTTTTAGGCTGCACGTTTTACATTGTCAGTCCAGATCAAAGGCTGACATGATTTTGCCTTACCTTTTGGGGGATGGTGGGGGTGTTTTGTTTGTTTTTTAATATGTGACCAGGGAGAAGGGGCTGCTCTCTTGCTTTTAAGCCCAAGCTACATTTGACATAGCTTTCTGTGGAAAAGCAATTTTCTCAACGACTTACCTGGTCTAACAAAAGACATGACTGCTCTCTGCAAATTAAATTTCTTAAATCTAACTGCATGACACCTGAATCTTTGTCACTATACACAAAAAAAAAAAAAGGAAAAAAAAGGAAAAAGCAATTAACTTTCTGTCTACCATTATTTTGTATCCTCTAAAGGGATGTAAAATGAAGGTTCCCGGTATTTTGCAGTTTTCCCTCATCTGCCAGAGCACATGTCAGAACGTTTCAGCCTTTTTGCTTATCGGCGCTTCGTTATGGAACAGTAGCTTCTTCCCTCAGCGGCGGACACGGCGGGACGCGGCTCTTGGCGCCCCGGGGCGGCGGGGCCGGGGAGGGAACCAGCCTTCCCCCTCCCGGCGGGCCTGGCCCGCC